GCGAGTCAATTATCAGGAATTTTACCCCCTCTACACTGCACGACAAAGCTGAAATTCGCCCCGACTAAAAAAAAAAAGTCAGAAATCGGCTCAAAATCTGATGAAAATCGCACTTCTGATCGGCCATTGCTTTCATGAGCTCAACAGAATCACGTGTGATTGTTTATAGTGCGCAACGTTGTACGAACGCGTAAATAGAAATATGATGCGATATTAACAAATCTAAATTTAATGCCACAATCGACACTTTTCAGTTTATTCACAGCCATGATAGCTTTAGTTTAATTGTGCAAATTAATTAAATGCCCCCTTTAATTTCCGACCCACGGTCACATATGTCCCCTTTTGCAGCCAGCCTCTAGCGGCCAGTTGATGAATTACAGCTTAAATCACTTCCTTGTTGGCTTCACGAGAGAGAGCGGGAGGTTGCCGCTTGGTCAATACATGAGAAAACTAACTGGCGTGGAAAAGTAACTCTGATATTTCCTTGTAAATTAAAAAGTCATGCATTACTTTACTAGTTACTTGGAAAAGTAATCTGATTACGTAACTCACGTTACTTGTAATCCGTTACCCCAATACTGCTCATATTTAACAGCCTTTTCACTGTATGTTTCACTCCGCCTCGACTCTTTCTGCAAGTTACATCGTTCCACCAGAAGGCGGCGACAAGTACCTGTCTCTTTGAACGAGTCATTTGAATCATTTACAAAACCGAATCATTCCAAACCACCGATTCATTCAGAAACGGCACTGCGCCCTCAGTTGCAGCTCTGTTGTGAACAGTCTGCGTTAATTAATTATTAAAGAAAATATTATGGTGAGCAAAAACTATTATCTTGAACCCCTTTAGGAAGACCTGGGGTAGTGAAACAACAATTCCGAAGCTCCTAAACAATATGTTTGAGGAAAAACATAAATGTTCTCTTACTGATATTGCACATCCTTTGGATCTCCCTCAGGAGGATCACGAAGTACGCAAGCGCCATATAGTGACATATACTACGCGCATGCGCAGTGCCGTCGGCGTTTCGGGGGGCGTTGCTGGCGTGCGGCAGAGGGGCGGGGCGGAGGTGGGCGTGTGGCTCAGCTGATACACTATCATCATCATCATCATCATCCTCCTCCTCATCGTCACCCGAGACCTGCTCCTGTCAAGATACACACCGCTCGGTTTCATGGACGCGACGCGACCGGCTCGGTGAATGAACGCGGCTGCTGTGACGCGCGTCGCTGTCCGCGGTGCTGAAACAGTGAGTACGATCGCAGTCATGTGGGTTTCATACTACAGCGGTGTCGATGTCTGAAGCGACTGATTATAGAAGAATAGAGAGAGAGAGACTGCGACTGAAACCAGTGAACGGACCTCCATTCTCTCTCGCAGATAAAGCAGCTAGGACGCATTATGTAATGCACTGATAGTGGGAAGGAGGGAAAAAACAGACCATCTCCTGGTTTCCATCTTCATGGTGCGTCTTTGTTTGTGTGGAGAGCCGAAAATGGAGAGTGTGTCTATAATAAGATGCAGTGTTTTGATGCTCAAAGGGATTCGCGCTCTCTGAAGGTGCTGCAGATCTCCATTCAGCCGTTAGATAACAATAGCGCATGCAATCTTTTGTGCAGACGCACAGGGTTTGGAGAGAGTTTGGTCATCTGAGGTCTGAGATGACTGTGCAACTTGTTGTGCATTGGCTTTCATGACGGTTCCGGGCCTTGTGGAGCCAATAAAAGTTTAACCATTCCTCCCTTTACACACAAAGCCACACACGGCGACCTCGTGGCCCATAACAAGCCGAGGTGCCAATGCAAATGTGTGTGAGATGTGTAAGTGCGAGAACAGATAAGGTAATGGCAAAGCACTGGAGTGTGAACCCTCTGTTGGCCACGCATGGTGCTGCAGCTCGTTGTGAGATCAAACAGCTTCTGTCTTTCATGGTGTGTTTTCATGCACATGGATGTCACGTTACCGACAAAACTCAAGCTTGGATCAATCTGGCTGCCGGCTCACGTGATGCTGATGCTTGCGTAACGCACAGTAAGGTTTGGTTATAGTAAGTGCATTTGTTTATGGTTGGGGATCGTGCACTGAAGCTCGCCATTGTTTTGCTGTTGTCTCACCTACATCTCTTAAACCTTTCTGAGCAATTTGCATTGATACTGTCTGTGCTTTTGAATAAAATGTTCATAATCAAATAATTCCTATCAGACTACTTGCATATTTGAGGTTTGGGGTTGATATCATTTTTTATGTTTCTGAAAGAAGTCTCTTCTTCTCACAAAGGCAAAATACAGCAAAAACTGTAATATTGTGAAATATTATTATAAATATTGTTCAGCACAACTGTTTTCAACTGATAATAATCAGAAATGTTTCTCGAGCAGCAAATCAGCATATTATTATGATTTCTGAAGATCATGTGACACTGAATACTGGAGTAATGATGCTGAAAATTCAGCTGCGCATCACAGAAATAAATTACAGTTTAACACATATTCACATAGAAAACAGCTGTTTTAAATTCTAATAATATTTCACTATTTTTACTGTATATTTTATCAAATAAATGCAGCTTAGGTGAGCAGGAGAGACTTCTTTTGAAAACATTAATTCAAAAATATCTTACCAACCCCAAGCCTTCAAACACTAGTGTACAAAGTAGTTTGATCCTAAATTGATCAAAAGTGGCATTTATAATGTGAAAAAAGATTCTATTTCAAATAAATGCTGTTCTTCCGAACTTTCTGTTCATCTGTGAATCCTGAAAAACAAAATGTGCCACAGTTTCCACAAAAATATTGCGCAGCACAACTGTTTTCAACACTGATAATGTTGAAAATCAGAATATTGTTGATGATTTCAGAAGCATCGTGTTTTTTCAGGATTCTTTAAGTTCAAAACAACAGCAATTATTCAAAACAGAATCTTCTGTAATATTATAAAATTAATAAATGTGTCCCTGGAGCACAAAAGCAGTCTTAAGTCGCTGGGGTATATTTGTAGCAATAGCCAACAATACATTGTATGGGTCAAAATTATAGATTTTTCTTTTATGCCAAAAATCATTAGGATATTAAGTAAAGATGAAAATATTTTGTAAATTTCCTACCGTAAATATATCAAAACTTAATTTTTGATTAGTAATATGCATTGCTAAGAACTTCATTTGAACAACTTTAAAGATGATTTTCTCAATATTTAGATTTTTTGCACCCTCAGATTCCAGATTTTCAAATAGTTGTATCTCAGCCAAATATTGTCCTATCCTAACAAACCATACATCAATGGAAAGCTTGTATAAATCTAAATTTCGAAAAATTGACCCTTATGACTGGTTTTGTGGTCCAGGGTCACACATATCTTCCCTCTGCTCTGACTGCAGTGTGTCTGGAGGTCCGGCAGCTATGATGGCCCATGCGGAGGGTTGCGGCGTTGAGTGACGCTCTGGTTCCCCAGCATGGGCAGTGTAGGCAGCGGGGTGGCCGGTGAGCAGGAGTTTGCCATGAAGAGCGTGGGCACACGCACCACCCTTCCTCGTGGCCCTCCCCTGTCCCGCCGCGGCCCCTCCGAGCGCCTCCACGCAGCTCCCTCCACCTCGGAGGGCTCGAGTGACAAACGAGGCGGGAGCAGCACCACCACGGATCGAGGCCAGCTCACCATCGCTGCATCTCGTCCCAGCAGGGGGAGCAGGCTGGAGGGGAACGCCGCGGGCCGCCGGGACACCACCAGAGTGTCTCTGGATGCTTGCGGTAACGTGGTGGGTCACGGCGCGGAGAAGAACCACGAGGTAAAGGGCAGAGACGGGAACAACGGCAAGAGAGACAGTCGCATGCCACCCAAGATCCTCACTGTATCTGGGAAACTCGAGCAGGTACGACTGACGCCGTTACTCCATTAATGGACTGCTTTGGTTGTAGTATAAAGTGGAAAAGTTGGGTTCTGGAAGTAAAAATCCAATTCATGTTCTCCATGGAGAAACTAATGATGCATATTTAAACATTATTTTATCAAATGTGACCCTGGACCACAAAACCAGTCATAAGGGTCAATTTTTCGAAATTGAAATGTATGCATCATCTGAAAGCTGAATAAATAAGCTTCCCATTGATGTATGGTTTGTTAGGATAGGACAATATTTGGCTGAGATACAACTATTTGAAAATCTGGAATCTGAGGGTGCAAAAAAATCAAAATATTGAGAAAATCACCTTTAAAGTTGTTCAAATGAAGTTCTTAGCAATGCATATTACTAATATATTTACAGTAGGAAATGTACAAAATATCTTAATGGAACATGATCTTTACTTAATATCCTAATGATTTTTGGCATAAAAGAAAAATC